TTTATTAAGAATAAAAAATAATAATCTAAACTCATGTACTTTTAAGATAAATTTTTTAATTTTTTTTTCTTCCATGTATTTGAATATTGCAACGGTCCTTCAATTTTGGACTCTCAAATCTTTATGGTTTTCAGCGAGCTTCTTATGGTACAGATGAGATAGAGGACTTGATTGGTTAACAAGAGATAAAGTTGCAGGAAAGAAAGAAAAAAGAACAGAGAAAATATGGCTCCGAGACTGGAGTTGATAAAATAAAAAGTAAATAAAATAAAAAATAAATAAATAAAATAAAAAAAGTAGAAAGACAGATGAGAGGAAGAGAGAGATTGGAACCCACCCTTTTTTACTCCGTTTTGTTTCCTATTTCGTTATTAAGTTGTGGTGATTTGAGTGTAGATTTTGAGTTAAATTTAAGTTATAATTTTGAGTTAAAGTTGTAATTTGATTTTATGTTTAGATATTTACATTTGAATTATAATTTAAATTGAAAATCTATTTGAGTTTATATTTGAGTGAGTCAAAACTTGAATTCGTATTTATATAATATTTTAATAAAAACTCAATGGTGATGAAAAATTTTAATAGGGTATAGAATTTTATTCGTCTCTTCGTTGTGAACGCATACAAAAAAGTCATCTCAATCGGAATTAAAACAAAAAAATTAAACGTTTTTAAGAATAGAAAAAATATTGTTCATTAATTTGAGTTTGAGTTTAAGAACTTGAGTTGAAGAGAAAACTTAGTGCCCGTTTAGTTTGCTGATTCGAGTTTTTAATTCGATTTGATATGTGACTTTATGAGAGCTTTTTACTGTAGCAAAAAAATTAGATGTGACTATTTCTGAGAGCTTTTTACTGTAACAAAACTCGAATTTTAAACTCGAATCAGTGAAATGAACGGGATTTTAAACTCATATTTTAGCCTTAAACTCAAGTTCAGATTCAAATTTTACAAACGAACATGAACTTAAATAAAATTGTAACTTGAATTTAAATTTTTTTTGAGTTTTACTCTAAAAGAACAAGTCATAAATTGTTGACATGTCAATTACTTATTCGCTAAAGAGAGAAATAGACAGAGGATCCGAATTCATACGTATTAATTTTCAACTTTTGATGCCCATAAAAAATGATCCCTCGCGTGTTGCATATGCTTGATGTTATGGTAAGTTTGTTACATCTGGTCTTGTAGTATTTTATTTTTTGTTATGTTTTTGAAAACATTTTTTCTAATTTTTGTAATTTTCTTTAATTTTGAGTGAGGAATGCAGGATGAGAATCGATCTTATTACAATGTATCAAATTTTGTTACAAATATTGAATTGATCTATTCATACTTCGAAATATAGGACCTTTTTAGTTTATGCATTTAAATAAGTGATTCTTAATTTTTGTATTAGAAATTTAAATTTTTTATGAAAGAAAAATACTATAATAAAATTAAAACGGTAGATTTAAATGCATGAAATAAACTTACTCATAATTTCTACCCTCAAATATATAGAAGTATTAAATTTTCTTTTTCCATTCTCTTCCAATTTAGATGAATAAATTTTAAAATCTCCACTAACTTAAAAATTTGGTATGCTCACCCTTATATATGTAAAAATAAAAATATGAAAATAGACGTGCATCAAGTTAAGTGTTGGTTGAACTTGAGCTTTTCTCGTCCAATTAATACTCCTAGTTAATTAAGGTATATCTATTATCTATTATATAATAAAAACATGTTAAAGCAACTAGGCGAGTATGTTTCTTTTAATTTTCATTTTTCATTATGTCCCTTCTATTTTTTTGTTCTTCTATTTTTGCTTTTTTTTTTTTATTGTCCACTTATCTTCCTTATTAAATTAGTCTGGTTGCCCTCTTTCACTAATTATGAAAAAAAAAAAAAAAACGATACGATAACTTTTTAGAAAAAAAATTTAGAAGACTATCAATTAATAACTATTGGTGAAAATTTGGCCGATGATTGAGTTTATAGAGTGGTAGACAAAACTAAGCGTCTTAAAGCAGACAATTACCATGGAATATTTTCTTTCCATTTTTACCCTTAACTTTTTCTACTTTTCACTTACGTATTACCTACTCTTTCCTTTTGAGCTTAAGATAAAGAGGTTAGCTTTTGTTTCCATTTATGTCTTTCACATTTTGTATTTTTTACTTACTTATTATCTACTCTTTTCTCTTTCTTAGAGTTTAAGAAAAAAAAGCATCTTAAGGCAGATGAACGTCATGAAAATATTATTTTTCCATTGATGCTCTTAATCTTTTTTACTTTTCACTTACTTATTATCTACTCTTTTTATTTATTTCGAGCTTAAGAAAAAACAGTTAATTTTTGTTTCTATTTATGCATTTCACCTTTTGTACTTTTTATTTATTTGTTATCTATTTTTTCTCTTACTTAGACTTTAAAGAAAAAGGTCTAAATTGTGTTTCTATTTGTACCATTCATCTTTTGTACATTTATGCCCTTTATCTTTTGTACTTTTACTTATTTTTTATCTATTCTTTCCTCTAACTTACAATTTAAGAAAAAAGTGGTTTAATTTTTGTTTTCACTTATGCCCTTCATCTTTTATACTTTTTACTTACTTGTTATTTACGTTTTTCTTTTACTTGGAACTTAAGAAAAAAGTAGTTTAATTTTTGTATCTACTTATACTTTTTACTTGTTATCTACTCTTTCCTCTTAAAAGTGGTTTAATTTTTTTCTATCTTATACTTTTTACCCACTTGTTATATGTTTTCTCTTATTTAAGGTATAATTATTAGTGGTTAAATTAAATAATGTTTATATTATGGCGATCATATTATACATAAAACTTATTTGTCAGCATCATAAAATTATTTATATACTTTTTACTTACTTTTTATTTGTTTTCTCTTATTTAGAGCATCATAAAACATAATCAAATTAAATAATATTTATATTATGACGATCAAATTATAATTAGAACTTCATAAAATTATTTCTCGAATAAACAATAAATATAATAATTAAATTCATGCTTTATTGCAGCAGGCACGTGCATTGCACGTGCTCTTTTCTTACTAGTTTTAAGTAAAAATTTGTCAAATTTCTTACAACTAATTTGTTTGCCCCAATTAACTATAAATTAGAGCCTTTAGAAACTGAGGTTGAAAAAAAAAAATAAAAAATGGGGAAAAAATGGGGAAAAAAAAAGATATTGATTGAAAACGGGTCTCAAATTTGTGTACAAAGTAAGAAAACCTCCGTCATCAATATCCATCATCTCAAATTTTGACAAAAGAATGAAAAGATGCATAAGGGGGCATTTTAATACTTTTATACAAATTTGGGGCAAGAGTGTTATACTTTAAAAATTCGGGAGTCATATTATAGTTTTCTTTTTTATTGATTCATTGCTTGCTCTAACCAATAACGCTCGCTAAACCCTCACCTATTGCAAGCTACACGTTCTGCTTCTGGGTTCTACACAATTTCCTCTCAAATTTCCCGGAAAATGAACGAGAAAGTGCAAGTTTCTCTCGACAAGCTACCCGTCAAGCGCTTGGACGTCATCGAGGAGAATGGCGCCGAACGATTCCCTTCGTACGCTCGTTTACTTTCCCCTTCTTTTCACTTCCGCTTCCGATTCACCAATCCGTTTGGTTTCCGAGAAAATTCATCCAAAATGTGTTCCTATTCTTTATTTTTCCTTCGGTTTCTTGGTTACCAAACTGATCGAAGCGTAATTTTGTTGTGCACAGCGATGTGGGATACGACGAAAAACGGCTTTCGTTGATTCGGCGAATCGATTTCGCGTGGGCGGTGGAGAAGGACGAGAAGAAGAAGCAGAAGAAGAGCGCGAAGGAGAGCTTGACGCCATGGCCATGGCAGACGATGGTGGAGAACTTGCAGTTGGCTCAACAGGAACTCTCTGTTATTGTAGATCTCATCAACACCGTAAGTATTCTTCATCTGAATTACGAGAAATGTTCCAAATTGTTAAATTTGTGTTGTTTCGTGAATTTCATAGGGATTTCAGTATTATAAAACCTCAAATTAGGAGAGAGAAAAAATGATGGAATTAAGTAGAAATTAGTGGACTTTGTTTAATAGTGAAAAGAATGATGGGGATTCTCTTAAGCAACATTTTTAGGAAGATCTTGAATTTAAAGCCCGTTTGGTTCATGAATTAGAACCATGAGATTAGAACTATTTTCGATTTACATGTGTTTTTTTTTAGAGAAACTACTGTAGCGAATCATGATTCGAATTAGAGAATAAATCCTCCAACCAAACGGGCTTTTAATTTCAACTTTTTGTTTGTCATAAAAAAATATAAAAAATATAAAAAAAAAAACCCTTTAGTAGGGTACAAAAACATACATAAAGTTTGAATCTTTATCGAGTTTCATTGAATACTTTTCTCAGTTTAATATGATTATGACATAATGTGATGGTAAAAGGCTGTGTCTTCGTTGGGTATTTTTTTTCATATCTTACCTCAAAACTTTTTCAATTTGTATATGCATATGTAAATCGAAAACTTTAGCTTTGAGATTTGGGTTTCTGAATGTGGAAAATCATTTTTTTTTTCTAATTTAATGTGTAGGTGGAAGCTAATGACGCAGTAACAGTGGCTGGCATGACAAGGCCAAAGCCATTGCCCAATGAAGTTCTCTCTGACCTTGCTGTATCTGCTGCAATTAAGTTACAAGGTTTCCGGGTATTTCTCTTTTCAACCTTGTTAACGGCCCAGTTCTTATTATGCTTTCTTAAGTTGACTTACAATTTTTGTCTGATCTTCTGATTGCACACAAATATGAAGTTATACGTTATAATTTTGTTCATTGTTTTCATCTTCATATTCATGAGTATTAGACGTTTGAAGAAAACAGAGAAACTAAAGAAGTGTTTCTGAATTGTGAATTCTCATTGATTGAAATGAATTGTACAATATGCTTTTAAATAGGAAACTGTACAAGTAACAGATTATCTATTCACAACTAACCACGGTTAGGAATTAAGCTAACTATGATTAATTCTAACAAACTTTCGAACAAGCCTAACTAACTATTTACAAGTGGCTTAGCTTTTCCAATAATGAGAGTTTGTTGAAAATCTCTTATGTGTTTTTGCGCAGAGTCTTGGTAAATATTTTAAGCAGTCTGCCAAAGCTTTGGAACAACAGGTTGTTAGAGAAGCAAGATTTTATGGTGCTCTGATCAGGTGATTTTTTTGCTGCTAACAAACCTTTGATGTTATATACCCCATTTTGCTGGAAAGTCGGAAATATATTGTCTAAAATAATTACTTTTTTTTTTTTTTCCTTTTCCTTGAACATTTTGTTCTTTTCATCTTTTATCAAATATCTACTTCATTTAAGGGCTTCATTGTCCCCATTGCTTTCTTTCTACAGATGTACAAAAAGAATTATGTTCTAATAATATGTGGGATTGACTAACTGAATTTAGTCTATTTGCTCATATATAGAATATAAATGGGTCAGAGAAACATTTATGGTAGGAATGACAACTGCAAGCTTATTTCTCTAAAATGTCCCTTCTCATTTCTTGACAAGCATATAGATTGCAGCAGAACTGGAAAGTTAAACGGCAGCGTATTGCAGCTGCAGCTTCCGGAAATGAAGGCTTCACCATTGATCTTTTTGACAATTCATTGTACGATCCAGCTTCTGTATATCGCCCCACTTTTCTATCAATGGTTCGTGTTGAACATGACCCAGCTGGCATGCTGGCTATAAATTTACCTCCAAACTCATGCCGATCTCTTCAATTTGGGTTTTTTGGTGTTCACCCTTGTGATAATACTGAACCCAATAAAACGAAAGTTGGTTCCTCAGTTCACTCAAGGGAAACTGAAAAAGAAGCAGCCAATGATGATGAGTGTATTAAAGAGACACATCTACTCCTTCGTCAGGTTCATCAATCAATCTTTGATGAGAAGGTAGAATTCCTCCTTCGTTATGTTCTTTCTCAGCTAGGCATCTTCTCTTTTCTGTCTATTTGACTTCATAACTTCTTTTTCTAATATCTTACGTCCCTTTGTTCATATGGTTCCAGGTATTTGATTTGGTGAACCGTGAAGCGTTCAATCAATCTTTAGGGGTCAATGTGACTGGAATAAGAGAAAACTATTTGCAACTGAGCATAGGTCTAGGAAACTCTGTGTTTATATCACTCGTGTCATCTAATCAAGATGACCAAACAGGAGATGATGCTGGAAATCAGGATATAGAAAATGCAATTTTACCTTTGGACTCGTTAGATGGAGTGAAGTTACCGGAAGAGGATAAACAAGATACCTTTAATAAAGAGTTAGGCACTCCTGATTATATTAGCTGTGAAATATATCTACAACAGCTTTTTCATGAGCATGTATTTTCAAGAGCAAAGGACAAACCCGTTTCAACTGTTTCTCGAGTCTCTGGTCAACCAGCGAAGGAAGGACCTAGTCTTCTCGGTCATTTCTGCCTGTCTTTGGCTCATAGGATCTTTTCAAAAAAAGTTCTTGTGGTGCTAGAAAATTTGGTATGTTAGAAATGCTGTGTTATACGCAATGAGTTCTGCTTCTTGATTGAGCATTTTTGTTAATTATAGTGTCTGTAGGTTTCTGGGGTATCATATCTACAGTTGCTTTCTCATCCCACTTGGAATTCTCGCACATCGTCATGGACAATCTTCATGAAGATTCCACAATCCATTTTACATGGCGGCAGCCACCAGACATCAGACTTGCATCACATGAAGAGTACCACTAAGTCTCAGTTTCGAACAAAGGTTGTCATAAAAGATGATTTCATCAGTGTAGAAGGGGAAGGTGCTCCAAATGTTGTTGGTCTATTCAAAGGAAGTGCTCAGGAAGTTTCTTCAATGAACAGATACGAATGTAACTTGGAAGATCTTCCGGTGATAATTTTGCAGCAGGTACGTCATTTAGCGTATATGTGGTTTAGGTGGCTTCCTAATAATATACTTGTGTGCATCTGTATGGATGCTAATACAAGTAGACGTATGTGTTATCTTGCATATTCATTCTCAAGTATAACTGAAATGAGTCTGGACATTTGCAACAGGTTGCAGGCCAAATTGTGCGTTGGCTTCATGAGGAAGCTCTGATGGTTGGAATAAAGGTGAACCGAGACTTTCTCAGCTTGTCGTTTGAGCTCGAGCAGGGCGAGACACTCACCTTGTTAGCACACGTCGACCCCGAAGATGCTCAGGGATGCATCTCATGGTGGCTGGTCATGGAGGACGGTTTCACGGAGGAAGGGAAGCTTCATATGGACTTATCTGATGGCGTATCTGAATATAGGAGGTTCTTAGGCCATTTGTCACTTGATCTGTTGTACTCAACCCTGATAGACTTGGTAAGCTTGTGCACTGGAGGTAGTAGCTTGTGATTAATGCATACTCACATTTTGCCCAATTTTAGTCACTTTGGTGCAAAATCTTAGTTTTGAAGCTTTACAGTAATCTCATTCAAAGTTATTTGCTCTTGACCAAAGTAAATATTATCATGATTTTCCTTTGCAAACTTATGTGTTATATTGTCACGCCCCAAACAGGGGTTAGTGACGTGAATGCTCGTTTAGAAGTTAAATATGATTAAGAAAGTAATTAAACATTTAGAAACATAATAATCAAAATAAAAAGTAAACTATTATAGAAATTTCCAAACAAGCCTCACATTTTTACTGAAATTAAATTACAAAAAAGTGATGAGGACTTTCACACTTTTTGTTAAAGAGGTTTAGAATTGAGCCTCTAGCATCATTCAGGGTCCACCCACAGGATATACAATATTATACATACATAAACATGTAAATAACATTAGAGACATCAACCACAGTTTACTATTATACATACATAAACATGTAAATAACATTAGAGACATCAACCACAGTCTAGAAATCTAAAGTTCAGAGTTTCAGAATTTACAATTCTCACATTTATACACCAGGATAATGAACACAATCCTCACTAAATCAGACGGTAGCAATTAATTCAGCTACTCCGCACTGCTCCTAGCGTAGCCTGGGAGGGGTTTATTATTTCTAGAAACAATAAAACGTGAGTGAAATGTCCAGTAGGATGTAATTTGAAATAAATTTTTATAAACAAGTAAATATTTGAGTAAGCAAATAACTAAATAATTAAATAAGTAAATGAAGATATTCAGTTCCAACACAACAGTCAGAACCTCACATTTTTTCTTAAAGTAAATATAAACTGAAAATTTCATATTACAGGCATCAGCAAGTAATTTATACTATGATAAATTATTTACACAACTACAAACACAAGCCTCATCACCACCGTAGTGACCCGGTCCGGGTTTCGGGTTCTGTCCCCAAGGATACGATCTTCATATCCCATCTAGGCCATCAGTAGGTTTATCAGTTCGCAAGATCTATTGTCTTAAGAAATCATTCATTAAAACTCTGAAATAGTTCATTATAATTCCAATAGTTAAAATCAAGCTATTGTGTTAAAAAAAATTTCTTTCGCAAACATATCATTTCTTTAAAACCTTTGTAAGGCCAAAACTCTTTTAAAAACAGGCTATCAAAGAAAGGGATAATAAATCCTACCCACTAAACCTGTGGTTAGCGTTGCACTATCCTAGCCTCCGCTTCTTTGAAGCCTTCAATTCGATTCTTCAGCTAGCTTTTGCACAAAATAACACTTTAGGATTAAATAATCACTCCTAAAGCTAATTGATCTCAATTATACTCTTTGATTTCCTATTAGTGTGCCCTAATCCAATTCTAAGTTTCATAAATTATTTATGTTTCGAATCATCATTCCAAGGGTTTTGATTTCAAAACATGGATTAAAGATGCTAATCCATCTACTTTAAGTTCCCAAATGAAGCTAATTTGTGTTCTCTTCAAAAATCGAGGTCAAAACAGGATTTCGAAACAACTCAGTCCCGTTTCCTTTGTCAACCGGCCGACCGGTGACAGAGAAGTGCATCACCACCGGTCGGCCGGTGGTGTGCAAACCGATCGACCACATAGGTCGGCCGGTGGAGAACAGCAGGGCGGGAAAACTCACCGAATAAGTTTGAAAACCTACAAATCCGAGTTTAATCCGAGATATTTCAAAGGAAAATTACTAAATTCATGTTGCAAATGACAAATCCCGTCCAAAGAACCAAAAATTCTCAATTTCCACCATGATTTTACCCAAAATCCATTTCGAGCTAAAAATAGGTTTTCTAACCAAAAAATTCGAGATTCAAGAGAAGTTTTTTAGAAATCTTACCTCAAATTCTTCTCTTGACGTTGAAAACTCCTCGAAATTCTTCTTTGGTTAGAAATCCGGTTGATTTGAGAGAGAAAATGAGAGAGAGAGAGGGAGAGTTCGATCGAGATCAAGAGAGAGAGAAAGAGAGAGAGTGAGAAACGACAGAGAGAGGGAGAGCTACGGGAAAGAAAAGGAAAATAAGAAAAGGAAAAATGACAAACGCAAATATCAAAGATATTTAGAAAAACAGACAGAGAGAGGGAGAGCTACGGGAAAGAAAAGGAAAATAAGAAAAGGAAAAAGGACAAATGCAAATATCAAAGATATTTAGAAAAACAGAGTAGAAAATGTGTCTACACACATTTATGGGGTGAAAATATAAATACTGAAAATATTTAAATTTCTTGAAAATATTTAAATTTACACATCAGACACATTTAATAAACATAATCATTTAATTAAATCAGATTAGACACACTAATAAATCTTAATTATCTTAATTAATCTCGTTTAATTTCTTGAGGTGTTACGTATATATACAAGTAAACCCTTCACGCACGCAAGCTCACTTTCTTCTCCATAAAGTATACTGATCGATGCCTAAAGAATTGACTTGAGGTTTCAATGAGCTGGTGCTTTGTGAAGTTGTCTATGAAGGGAAGAACTTTGAAAATCCACCCCCACAAGTTTTAACCCGGGTTTCTTTTGGCTTAAGATATCGTTTGTCTAGACTCAGAGACAGGATAAGATTTGAGTACGTCTTTTGTTGTGAACTGATGCCTTCTTGTGCAAACTTATAGCACTTTGGTTCTTCCTGAAGGGACCTGTTCTAGTTTGCATATAACATATAGAAGTAAAGGTGTAACATATTTTATTAGTGTGTGCCTACTTGGCTTTAGCTGGCACATGCTAAATTTCTACAAATGCTATGCTTTACGTCTAAAAAAGCTTACCGCTGTCATGTATAGACGCTTAAACCAAAAGGCATTCCCTCCATCGATTGTGTAATGAAACGGAATTGTTTCATTTGACAAAGGAGGGCAAACATAAAGTTATGGATAGAGATCATTATATACTTTGATTACATCCTTCTCCCAGCATTATTCATTATCCATGTGAAAGTATGACCATTAATATATAATATGACATATGACATGAGCTTTCACATTCTTCCAACTCAATCATCTCACTCACCCAAAAAAAAAAAAACCCACATATTTCCATTTCTTGTTTGGTAGCCTAAATGGTGAGGAAATTAACGTCCAAAATGAAAGCCAGCTATTTCTTGCTTGCCAAGTAGCAACCACTAGAAGCCACTTTCCTTGTGCTACTAGTCAAATTAACAAAGAAATTACCCGTTGAATTTTCCTCACCTGGATCCAAATGTCACGGCATTTTTATTTTTTTATTTTTATTTTTTTGCTTGCAGGGATAGCAACGGCGGGATTTTCGCCACTGATTATTTTCATTGATGCTAGGATGTTAATTTTTTCCCTCAAGTACTCGAACTTTAGGGGTTAAATTATAAAATTATTGTTTGGTAACTGCATAAACTTTTGAGAGAATAACCCAACATTTAAAATTGATTAAAGTTAGGGACAAATATGTTTTTGGTATTCTATCTGATGTGGTTGTATTTCCAACAGATTTCACCAAAATAATACACTAGATTAGTGCCCCTTAATCCACCGGTTTAAATTGGGGAATCAGCAAAAATGACAAAAAATAAAAATCATTGGTTTAGGGAAAAAAATGTCCAAAGTTTCAAACCAAAATAATAGATTATCAAAACACCAAATTATAAAAAAAAAAACAAAATACAAAAGAAAATTTAAAAAAAAAAAAAATTGTTGAACTTACTTACATGAGTCTGAATTTTTACTTGTTATTCTTGATTAATATCTTTTTAATTAGCATAGTTATTTCACTAAAAATGAATGATATTAATTAAGAGTAAGAGATAAAAATCCAAATTCAGGGTATTTATCTCTTTTTCATCATATATCAAACACATTTTTAAATATTACATTATAATCATATTAAAATGGGATAATGTGACATTTTTAAAATTAAAAAAAAAGCGTGGTACATTTGTTTCTTTTTTATTAAGAAAATTATGCAGAAAAGGAAATAAACCTCAAATGTGAAAATAGTGCCAAAATGACTTCTTAGGTAAGGCAAATGACATATCAAATAAAGAGTTAGCAAAAACATATATAATATCACATTGCAATCATTTTTTTTTTTTTTAAGAATGTAATCGTATTAAAATTGCACAACATCATTTCTTTCAAAATAATATGAAAAGGTCTCAATATTTCCCTTTTATCTTAAATGAAATTCTCTTTTTTTTAAAATAAAAGAAAATTAAGAAAAAAAAAGATAGTTTATGATGGAGCATGTTATTTTGCTCCGCAAGTAAAAATTATAATTTTAGTATTAAGTTAATTTTTTAATAATTACATCTGTAATAAAAATAATTTTATGTGACGTGTTATAAATTTTTAATACGAATCTATTAGATATAATAGTTAAAAAATTAATCTAACAATTAAACTTTTTATTTCCACCAATGGCGCAAAATAATTACTCTACCATAGATTCCAAAAAAAAAAAGTGACAAATATTTCCTTTCTACTAGGGATCTTATGGAGAAAAGGAAACGACAAACAATATCAAAAGGTGCAACTTAAATGTAAAATTTTTAATACGAATCTATTAGATATAATAGTTAAAAAATTAATCTAACAATTAAACTTTTTATTTCCACCAATGGCGCAAAATAATTACTCTACCATAGATTCCAAAAAAAAAAAGTGACAAATATTTCCTTTCTACTAGGGATCTTATGGAGAAAAGGAAACGACAAACAATATCAAAAGGTGCAACTTAAATGTAAAATTACTTTCAAAAAAAAAAAAAAAAAAAAAAAAGTGACAAATATTTCCTTTCTACTAGGGATCTTATGGAGAAAAGGAAACGACAAACAATATCAAAAGGTGCAACTTAAATGTAAAATTACTTTCAAAAAAAGGGTAAATTTTAATTTAAAAATTTTTTAAAAAAAAAAAAAAAAAAAAAAAAAAAAAAAAAGAACTTACATGTAAAAATCTGCCCAAATGCTTTTTAATTGAAGCTTCCATTCCTTAAACATTCTTCCAAGGTTACACGAAACGAATCCAACTTAATCACAACCGTTCCATTACGTTACGCAGATCCTTCATCGCTCTCGTCGTCGTCTTCTCCTACAACACACAAACGCACGACCAAATTCCCGAAATGCCCTTCTGAGGTTTCGCTCTGCTTTTCCCTGCGAGTTAAATTTGCACTTTTTACTGGCTTCTGGGAATCCAACAGAATTTGAAATCCGAATGTGGTTCTGAAGAAATTTCCGCTGTTTTTTTTGTTTTTCGGACTCGTGCACGAAATGGGTTTCTTCCGAATTCTCATTTGGGGCCTTCGATTTTCCTTTCCGTGATCGAATTCTCATGTGGGTTTTCCGACAATTTAGAAATTTTGACTTGGGTTTTTCTTGTTGGGAACAAATGTTTCGTTCTTTCGGATTCTTTATACATAAATGGTGATAATGGCGCTTTTTCCACCTGAAGAAGTTTTTTCAGATTCTGGGGTTTGAGAATCTTGCATGATTTTTCAGTTTTAGTGTGGTTGTTCATAATATCAATAGTATTTAAAAAAAAAAAAATTGTTCACAATGTCTGGTGGGACTCCTACTGCGGGTGGATTTATGAGACAACGGCATAGTCAGGGCTATGCTTCTAGTGGGGATGATCTTGAGGATGATGCTTGTTCTAGGCTGCGCCAAACTTTTGAGTCAAGTCCGAGAATTTGGTCACGGATTGAGATTGTGGAGAATGTTCTTTGGCTTGTCTCGGCAGCTTTTGTCGTTTATTTTGGCGATAGGCACTCCAATTTGATACATCTCCTTTGGCATGACGACAGAATCAGAAGGTATTTTACACCATTTGTTTTGGATTTTCGATTCTTGATTAGATACTCGTTGTAATCTTGTTTATGTTACTGTTTTATTTATAATGTTTGAAGTGCGATTCTTTTGTTTATTCTTGATTATTGGTAGATTCTGCTTTTCTGGCAGTCGAAATGGTATTCCTTTTGTGTTGCCTGTTGCATGCTTTGAACTCGGAGGAGGTTTTTTTTTTTTTTTTATTTATTTATGTGTGGGTGCTATACTGGTTTAGTGGAATGAAAATTCTTTGGAAAGTGCAGAGGAAATTCTATGTGGAATGGCATAAAGAAATGAATCTTTTGGAACTGTTGGACAACTCATAGACACACTAGGTGTTACAATTAGGACTAATCATTTCATAAGGGAAGCAATTTCAGATTAATTGCTCTAGTCCTTTACTAAGGATAGGAATAAAATAAAGACGAGAAAGCTCACGCATGATATACATTGATTTACCCTCAACATGAGGGCAGCGTTTACTACGACGAAGAAGAAGATTACAAGAGAATCATACCCCTCTCGCCTTTCAGATTATCCGTGGCAGATCGATCAGGCTCCACACACTCAACACTAGGAACCAAACGTCAAAGATAATATGATATGATAGGGGAAGCAAATTTTGAATAATTAAGGGCCCGTAATTCAAGTTGAGATGTGACTTTATGTGAGCTTTTTACTGTCGCAAAAAAGTTAGATGTGACTGTTTCTGAGAGCTTTTTACTGTAGCAAAACTCAAATTCTAAACCAAAATTGGTTAAATGAACAAGGCCTGATTCCTTTGTCATATGATTGTAGAATTCTTTAGTATTTTCTTGTGGGGTTACCCCCAGTAATCCTTTCTCCTGAATCTTCTAAAATTGGATTTTACTAATAATTTGTCCATTTTTGTGTGTAATTAATTCTTTTTGCTGGGAGTGTGTAATTTAATTCTTGTATGCATGTAGTTGCTCTGTATGGTTTTTGGATTTTACTTTATTTGGGTGTTTATTGAACTATATCCGTGTGAAAAAGTTATCATTGAGGATGAGCTAGATGGCTTTCAACTTGTGTTTGCAATGGTTTGACACAGTTTTAGTTTCTCGAAAGTGAAGAACGTCTTTTGAAACATTGTTAAGGATCTTGTTAAGAATGTGAGATGAAAGTGTCTTGCATCTTCAGTGACGCCATGTTAAATCATGTTGTCGCACAGGTTTAATAATATTTAGTTACCAATATTGTAGTTTAAACAAATAGTAGTTTTAAGGTTCACAACTTGGGCCTCGAGAAAAGCCTCTATCTTGTATTTTAGATCGCATGATAAATGAACAGTGTTATATTTCTTTGGAAGCTGATACGGTGATACCTTAGAGAGATTTACTGTATTATACTATTTAAGGCTTCTGTGATAACTGAATTGCTAAACCGGAAGCTCATGAGGCTTTAGCCTGCACATAGTTATCTGTGTGGTCCTGCTTGTGTATCATAACTGAAGTTTTCATGAGAACGTGTTCATAGTTACTGATTCATGTTTAGGCTCCAGGTCACTTGACAAATTACAAGTATGTTTGGACTCTTATCTATTTATTGTTCCTGCAGAGTGCCTTTATACCTAGGAATGGTGGGCGTAGGTTTGAATTTTATCGTCTTTTGTTATACAAGTATGTTAGCATGGAGTGCCCGGAGATTTGACGAGAAATGGGAGATGACTAGTACATCTGCTCTGCCATTTGTCACACTTCTTGGGATGACCTCCTTTTGCTTGTAAGTGTGAAACTATCATGTCATTCATGTTTTTGATTCATCAATAGCCATGGTGTATGCGGTACCATTTCCTTGTCTTTTTTTATTTCTTATGGCAGGTTCACCTTTGCGTTGTGGCCAATATGGGGCTTCTTGACCCTTCCTCTTCTGGTACATTAGTTTGCTTTTGGTTTGGTCAAGTTTTATGAATTAGAACATTTTACTTGTGGTGATCGCCTAATTTGATTCTTCATATTGCTGCAGTTCACTTTGTTCATGGCATGCATGGTCACATTTCCCTACATCATCATCGGCACATTTAGGCCACAGTATGATGAGTTCCGTACAGATTAAGTCTACCTAGATAAGGATTCAAGACCAACCATACCGACGAAGATGAAGAGCTTCTGATCAAGCATGGATAGTTAATACTCGCATCGGTTAATACATTGTTTCGTGGAGTTTCTGATGCTATATTCCGCCATACTGATACCACCAACAAGAAGTTGATTGTCTTTTAATTTAATCAACTTTATTTTTACATGTCAACTCTAATTTTAGAGTAGCCTCGATGACATTGATATATTCATTGGTTCTACATATCGTCAAAGTACAACAGTTGACATGGGATTTTGTTCAGTCCCTTGAGGATGATTTTAGTTCCTTGTATAATTTTTTTATTACACTGCATCCTCTGTTATAGGAAGCTCTGTTAGCTGTGGTATTGTTCATCTTTGCATTTTTGAAAATGGGCAATGAATTCATTTTCATTTGACGTCATAGAATTGGGTTTTCATTCACAGCTTTATGAATTATCATTGTTATCCCTAGGTTTCACCACGCTCCCCAAGAAAAAAAAAAGAATCTCCACGTTGACAATCTTCTATGATTACTATAAACTATAGGCTTCTGTCTTTCATGAATACTTTGAGGGCAAAACTATGGCACAAGATGTTTTATACAAAATTTTAATGATAGAAAAATGGACTAGAAAAAATAAACTACCGTTAGTTTTTTTATCTTCAATAAATCATCAAATTTGTATTGAAAATATTTATTTTGTATATTTTTTTTAATTTGATGTGATTTTTATTAAATTTAACGATCAAAAATTAAGACTCAGAGTAGGCCACTGAAGAAAAAGTTGTTAGCTTTTAACAGCTCAATTGTTTTTCCCGTCATTCACGAATTAAAATTGAGTTGCATGGTAACATCGTACATCTCAAATAGCTTCTTCCACTAATTTGATGCTTGAGACTGTTTGATAAGACGAAAAAGAAAGTAGGAAGTCAAGACATGTGAACTAAGTGAGGAAAATATAAAGGACAAGACTTTTCTTTTATTGTATTTAGGAGACGTTTGATTCATAGATTAGAATCATGAGATTAGAATCATTTTCGATTTACGTGTATTTTTTATGAGAGAAAACACTGTAGTGAACCATGAACCATGATTCGAATTAAGGTACGAATCCTTTTACCAAACACACCTTTATAAATTCTTTAATCTAATCTCTCGATATTCAGAGAGGTTAAAATGGCGTACTTTAAAAAATTTGAAATTCCTAACTCAATCAAAAAAATTTATCTTTTCCTCCCATCAAACAAGCTCTAAGTCACAAAGACATCTGAAAGCAGGGGTGGAACATGTCTAACGAACTTAGTATGATTACAAAATCTTGTTAGTCCAATCAAAACGTCTTAAGTCCTAACTATTCACCTCTGGTGATTAGAGTTTACTTGTATACCAATGTGATGAAGAAAAATATTATTTAAGGTTCTCTTCCTTTTCGATGGGTACAAAATAATGTATAGTAATGTGGCTTCATGTTGCTTTCTCCACAATGTTTGGAGACCACTGAACATGCCAGAGAGGCCTAAAAAACCCCCCAATAAATTTTGCAGGCACAGCTAGTGGGCTACATCTTCACATGCATTCTCAACAGAATCTCTTATGGCTATGAAAATCAAATTCTTGTAGAGGTGGGAAGAATAAGAAAGTTAGACACTAAGACAAAAATAAATAAATAAATAAATAAAATAAAATCAGAATAAATATTCTTAATTGTCTTTTGAGCCTTGTCCTCTTGAAGGAAAGAAGAAAAGGATGAGCACAAACAACAATGGAAAGGGATAAATATTAGTCGTATGCTTAGGATTAGTGGACTAAAGATCATGTAGTTGTTAGTGGGTCGGCTGAGAAATAGCCATAAAAAATTAAATTGATAGTAATAATAATAATATTAAAAAAAAAAAAAAGTTTCTTTCATGATTGGAGGACTTCTCCAATATGCACGTGATGTTTTGCATACTTCCCAATTGGGCACAAAACAAAGTCATGGAAATTGGGCAAGGAGATATTATTTCAATTAGCTTGAATAATAATTAAAAAATCTCACATAAACTTGAATGTTTCTATTCATCATTGTTGTAGATAAATAACTACTAAACCTTTGAAACGTTTGAATTCATCATTACTCATGACAAGTTACTACAAACTTTTGAACCGCTAACATATTATCACGCGGCTATAGGAGTGGTGACTAAACCAAAAGTTAGTAAATGATATTTGATATTTTTCTTTTCTATAAGATTTCCTAATCCTCAATGCTCTTCACATGTGGTAGTAAACATTTTCGTTTTCTCTTGGTATTATTAGGATATAACTAGCACCTAATTCTTTCCGATGAAAAAAATATTCCATTTAGGCAAGTGTCGCTATCCTTAATTTAAAGTCCCAAGAATTATATCATAAAATATTAAAAAAGTATAAATAAGTCACAATTTTAAACTGTCTGATCATATTATAATTATAAGAAGTTACAATTATTTATCAGTCTTACAAGACTTGCTTTTTATTTTTATTTTTATTTTTATTTTTCCTGATTTATTTGCATTAGATTGGTTGAAGTGTGTGTGAGAGTAAAAGTGAACCCCACTGCAATGACTTTTGTAAATCCCCTCCAAGGCTGTCAACCATGCCTTGTCTCCCAAGTTGGGAAAGACATCTTTCAAACATCCTCACTCCAAAAAGGAAAAGTAGCAAAGTCTGATAATAAATCATTCATTTCTAAACTTAGTGCTCAGAATAATTGGTTTTCCTGAGTCTTCCTCACATTGTACATACATACTATTCACCACACTGAGCGATTCTTCTTTTACATTTTTAAGTTAGGATGATCTTAAGTTGAGTTTAAGTTATAACTTGAGTTGAAGTTGTAACTTGAGTTTGTGTTTAGATGTGCACATTTGAGTTATGATTTAAATTGAGAATCCTTTTGAGTTTGTGTTTGGGTGGGTCAAAACTTAAATTTGTATTTATATAGTATTTTAATAAAAACTCAACGGTGATAAAAAATTTTAATAGGGTATATGAGTTGGGGTTTTATTCTTCTTTTCGTTGTGAATGCATAGAAAAAAAAATCATCTTAATTAGAATTAAAACGAAAAAGTTATGGTATTTTTAAGAATAGAAAAAATATTATTCATTAACTTGAGTTTGAGTTTATGAACTCGAGTTGAAGGGGAAATTTGAACTCGAGTTTAGCCTCAAACTCAAGTTCAAACCCTAGTTTAAACTCGAGTTCAAACTCAAATTTTACAAAAAAAACATGAACTTGAATAAAGTTGTAACTCGAGTTTAAATTTTTTCTAAGTTTCGTTACAAAAGAACAACCCCTGAAATTCTCAAAATAGAAAGAAATATTGAAAAAAAAGACTTTTTTCGATACCCTAACATACCATTAGGTTATGTTTTTTGTCTGTCAAATTTGTATAAAATCACATAAAAATCAAAAAGTATACAAATTTAACGGTTAAAAAAATCTAACCTACCGCTACCCAAACATACTAAAAAATCTCCAAAAAAAAAAAAAAAATCTCTCTACTATTTTAGATAGTGGCAGCGCCAAAAAGAAGACCTCTTTTATTCAACAGCAATTTTTATTCTATTTATTGAAAAGAAAATTTTGAGAATAGGGATTTTAAAAGATAAACCATCAGTACCTTATTTGTTTTAGAAATTGTCAGTTTTGTACACTTTTTAATTTTTATATGACTTTGATTAAATTTTAGCGTCGGAAATATACATGACCCGTATGAGATCCTACTATAAAAGTGTTCTTATTATTTATTAGGAAATTTCTCTGGTATATCAATATATGCGTAGGTTAAATTTTTTGTCCGTTAAATCTGTATAATATCACATAAAAATAAAAAAATATGCAGATCTAACGATTAAAAAAATTTAATATAAATACTCCAGACGTACAAAAAATCTCCCTATTTATCATTTTTTTTTTGTTGGCGCAGAAAGTGATTTCTGATTGTGATTGTGATTGTGAACCACTTTTCAAGCTGCAAATTTGAATGGACTTGTTTATCGTAGACCTCTTGTTTGTCTAACACGAGATGGAAAATTGATTGCTTTGTGTGTGTGTGTGTGTGTGTTTTGAGAGGTGCACATGGCATTGGTTTCTCTAATCTGAATTCTGTGAATAAGTTCTCTTGGAATTGGACAAATTTTAGTTGTAACTTGTAATGTGTGACACCAAGCACAAGACCATTTCTGAGTGGTATTTCACAATCAGCAATAGGAATACGATGTCCTATTTTCTTTCTCGAGTTTCATGCCCAAAAAAAAAAAATATATATATATATATATGCATTTTTTGTTGGGAAATTCTCTAATAAGGTACGAGAAAAAGTTACTAACGATTAAGTTAAACGATATGAGATAAGATATTATTTGAGTCAAAATGTGTCTCAATCCTAAATTAATTAAATTGATCTTTTTCTCTCACTAAAACTCTACTTTCTTTCTCTGAAATCTCAAAGTTTCAGCGAGTTATGGAAAAATGCGAAAAAGTTTTCCCTTTCATTTGTGCTAGCTGGTATTTACAGATCCTCTGAAATTTATTCCGCTCTTATTTTCCTGTCCACTTCGGCCTTATTCTCGAGTCTCTTGGTCCTAAACTTTGTCTCTTATCACGTCATTCTTTCCTTGGTCTGAAGTTGCACTGTTCCACCTCTCTCTTCGGCACTAAATTGTTGAACGCTGTCGTTTTCTTCTCTATAAAACGACGTCATTTTGTAACAACTCATTCGGTGCGTTTAGAACTCGTTCTAAAATGATTTTATTTTTTGTATGAAAATATAAATAAAAATGTTTTCAATCTCAAACAGAAATCATTTTAAAAAATGCATTTAATAATTTTATCAAGAGATTGTTTTCAGCATAAAAAAAACTCATTAATATCTCTATCTCTCTCTCTCTGCTCGAGAGAGGAGAAAACGAAAATAAAAAATAAAAAATAAAAACAAGAATAATTCTAAACACGACAATAACTGCCCGCACACACACATATATGGTGAGATTTGAGTTTAAAAGAACACGAGTTCGATCCCGCATTGTATTAAAAGGAGAAAGATATTCTTCCGTTGTAGCACATTTAAACAGCTAGATCACAACATAATTATACAAAATTGAAAAAGAAAAAATAGTATAACATTAATAGAATTTTATAAATAACAGCTCAAAATTATATCTTATCAATAAAGTATTATCTTCCATAATCTATCATATAATTTTTTCTTTTTATTCTTCTTGACTATTTTTAAGTGAAGAAAGATAAATATATATATATATATATATATTTGTATGTATATATTAATGTGGTGTAAAGCTGGTCAAGTAGCTCAGGTAGCCACCAATTAAAAATTAGAAACTAGTTGAAAAATAGTATTTTCTCAATAGGATGATGAAACTGGCACTCACTAGGTGAGTTTATTTTAATGAATGATTGAATATTAACATCACATAAATTGGCCAGCTTGCTATTGCATTGTTCTCTTCAGCGCATGAGAACAAAAGAAGAAAACAAAAAAAGGGGTTGAGTTAGCCGATCATCTTTGATGATCTTGATTCTTAAGAACATATTTTAAAAAACCATCCAAAAAAGTTTATAGAAATATATTAGGACTGTCCAGCTGGATGGCTTTTTAATGTGGAAATGATCTTTGTATAAATAAGGGGATGCATTTAAAAAATAAAAAAATAAAAAAAAGTGCTCAGATGTGATGTTAACAGCAAGCCAAGAAATGCATGCTACTTGATAAATTGTAAAGGATTAGAATTATAAAAGGATTAATTGGGGGAACTTTCTTGATATTTGCTTCATCCTCATTTAATATAACAATGCATTTCAAAATTAAAGTAATTTAAACAAAAATAAAATGAAAATTCACTATGAATTTGAACTTAAATCAAATGTTGCACAAAACAAACTAAATTCTAAGCATATGCGCATCAAATCTTAATAATAAAGTCATAAAAGGATTAGTTATATCTAAAAAGTTAAAATGTATAGATTTATTTACATAAAAAATATATTTATATGAATATTAGAGCGAAGGTGGGTGTGTAGTACTTCTCCCCTCCCCACCCTATTTCGAGTTGGGAACAAGATTTTGTCTCTATCCCGACTTCCATCCTCAATTATTGTACTCCGTTTTCGCTCTTTTCGGGACTGAACCCCTTCGTGAGAAATATTGTTATCTCTAATGAAATGTCCATATATTATTTTTCTTTTTAAAAATAGTTATTAAACTAAACATTGTATCCAATTTAGTTTCTGAACTAAGAAAGTTTTTTGTTAACTAAATGGATGAAAATTGTTAAACATGGCTACCATAATTATTTAAGAGCTGATCTTGCCCTCTAAACTTGTTTGGCGCCATTTTTTAGTGAGAGGTAAGAGGTTTTCTCCACTACTTTCCATTCCTCAATCACTATAAAAATCATACAACTTAATGATCATAAACCCTAAACAAAAGTAAAAGTCTTAAGTTTTGTTTATAGTTCCTCAACAAAAATATAACAACAACAACAACAACAAATACAATTAGCAATTCGGTATCAAATAAAGCACATGGAAAAGATAAAAAATATATAAACAACAATAAAAGAAACAAATTTTCACTTTTTCTTATATTCCAAGAAATTAAATTTGATATAACTTCTGATACTTCACTTTTAATATATATATATATATATATGTATATATATTGCTTGACTATTTTTAGGGATTGGGAAAGAAGAAAGTTTAGGAGGTTTTCATGATTTTAATCCCAAAGCAAACTATCATATCTTTAGTCCAAGATGCCGTGGCAAAAGGGAAAGTTGATAACCTTTTGATCTCTTGACAACACTTTAAGCATCTTTATTACAATCCCATCTGCCCTTATTAGCATTCAGAAACGCTAATTAAAACCCTATTGAAAATCATAATCGCAGTGAGTTGTGAACCTCACTTTAACTAAACCCATTTAACTATTTCCATGAAAAATAAGACATTTACTAAAAACCCAATATTCTAAATTCCAAATGATTCGTGGCAGAAAAATTTGAGTCTGAGAGGTCAATGTCTTTATTCTCCTAAAACTCACGTCATGCCAAGGACTTGAAATTATCAAAAGTAGGTAGTTTTGACAATGCAAATGTAGGACATTTTATATGTAGCTTTTATTATTATTATTATTATTATTATTCTTTTATTTATTTTTTTATTTTTTATTTTTTTTGCATGGTCTAAAGACAAATTATCCCATTGGTGTAAAATCCGGTTATAATTCAACTTATGTTGGCTGTGAAACTAGAATTTCAATTTGGTTGTCAATACTTCCATACAGTCACAGTCCCTCCTATATGAGTCTGAGAGAGTCGTATTGGATTTTAGCAATTTTAGGACATGGGGTCATTTAAGTCAAACCAAAATATGGACAAGTCATATATAATATCATGATGGTCAACCTATTCTATGGCTCAACTTTGTGCCACTTAAATTCCTTGGTATAATCTCTGCACAGCTCCAATTAGGGCTGTAAGAAATCACCCCGAACCCGGCCGAGCTGAGCCGACTCTACCCGAAAATCACGGGTTTCTAATTTTTTATTTAATTTTCGGTTTGAATTATACCTAACCCGCACTGCGCGGATAGGGGCGCGGGGTGGGGTTACATGAACCCGAGGTAACCCTACCCGGCCGAACATGTTCAAAGTAGGTAAAACAATGTTCAACACTTCAAATTCTTACTTTCATAAGTTTATGGACTTTATGCTTTTAAACTGTTAACTTATTTATGTTTTGAATTCACGATTTGTGTAAAAAATGCTTGTATGCCATAGTTGTTGAATTAGGACATTCTTTATTTATATTGGAAGTGTTTGATTTCAAAGTGAGTGTTTTAATTGTTCACCTTACATTTAGACCCCCTATTGAAGGAAAAACATGTTCTGTTTGATAATGATTTCTTATGTAATAAGCACAGATTAATTGACTAAAAAGTGATCATGTGGTCCTTGAGATCACTCTTGCTTTATGCATATTGTGATATGAGTTATTAGTCTTTATATTTTATTATGCCGCAATTTTGTTGTGTAATTATTTACTACAATAGTATTTGCATATATCATTTATTGCTCATTTACTACAATAGTATTTTATCATTTATTTGCATATAAGAGCCTCTTAGATTAAAATTGATGAAGTCATAGATTAAAATTGGTTTTCACCAACCCGAGTAACCGGACCCTACCCGAGGTCACCCGAAAGGTTGCGGGTTTGTAGACTTAAGAGAGTGTCGCGGCCCAAAATTTTCTCAACCCGCACTAGTCGGGTAGGCTTAATTTTTCGGCTCAACCCTACCCTACCCGGCCGATTTACACCCCTAGCTCCAATTAAAAAGAAACACTTGTAATACTGGTAAAAATCATATTAAAAAGAAAGAAAATCAGAGGAAAAATTATTGGTTATCATAATCGAGTCACACGACCATAGAAGGTCCACCACCACTATTCGCGGGGCCCATCCTTGTCATCAGCAGAAGATTAGCATGACCTCTTTTTTTAATTGACTAAAATGCCCTTTGTGGAGTAGGAAGAAAAAAATGGCGTGGCGGTGGGTCAACACACAGAAGAAAATCTTGTAAAATTAATTGCACTGGATGGGGTTTGTGAGAGATATGGGGCGCATCCTATTTTATTTTTGAATCTTTGTCTAGACAATTTTTTTTTAAGGTTTAGTTTCATTTTGGCCCCTCAAACTATACTCCTTATCTTAGTTTGACCCCAAACTGAAAAAACATTACAAGTTGCACCGGTCTATTAAAAAGTCTCAAGCATTATGATTTTGTTACAACATTGTTTAAAGCAATGGAATCAATCATGTAATCCTCATAGACCTGGTTAATGAAGGGTAATTTTGAACAAATCATGCTTAAATAGATTTAAAAATTAAAGAAAAACCACAAAAAGGAAAAATTATGCTCTGGAGGCATTAAGGATTTTGACGGGTCGGGAATTTGGGCATAGGCGGCAGGTTTGATCGTGCCTTGTACAAAAAATAAATGCTATTCACACTTTTTTTAGCAAGACTAATGGCTAATGGGGACATGCCAGGGCTAAATCTATTTGAATTTAGTTTGTAGTTGTGATTTGTCTAAAATACCTTTTATTAACTGGATATGTGATGTTCACATAGAACTGTAAGTTTGGGTCTTGTCAAATAGGCCGCTTCAAAGCCCGAGTGTTTAGCTCGGTCCCAATCTGGCCCGATCGAAAGGATTAAGCTCAAAATGTGTTCAATTCAGCCTTATTAGTAATTTAAAAAAAGACATAAAAATTTATATATTTATCATATAATAAGCGAGTTAGACAGATCCCATGCAAACTTTTGGATTGATGGGTCGAGTCAGGCAGCCTGAATTTATACTTCCAAGTTTGTTAATTAAGTTGAGTCAATAATTTTTGGATAGTTTCTTAAAAAAAAAATTTTTTTGATAGAAAGATCTAATGTAAAACTTTTTGATAAATTAGGGTATGATTTGTAACGTTTTAAAGATTGAATGTCAAAATGAGACAGAGCATGGCTTGTGCTTTGTAGGATCAAAATTAAAATTACTTTTTTAAAAGTGTGAAAAAACACACACACACGTACAAAATAAAGTAATAAAAAAACTCACTAAAATAAGAGAGTTTTTTGATAAAAATTAAAAAAAAAATGAACTAAAATTTTTTTTTTCAACCGTTAAATTTATATAAAAAAATTATTTATTTTATATATTTTTTAATTTAATTTAATTTTAATCAAATTTAATAGTTAAAAACTTATTTATAGAAAAACTTTCACATGAGAAAGTCCTTAAAATAAATTCCACATGGGTTTCGACCCTCACAACACCTCTAATTCTACTCTCTCTCTCTCTCTCTCTCTCTCACTCTCTCCAAGTCTCAAACAACAGCTATCTTCCAATCCGTCTCTCTGTGTTTTGTTCTTATATATATATATATTTTTTCCTTTCATTTCGTAGAGCAACCACCAAGGTGTCATCATTTGAAACCCATCTTTCCTTCATTCTTTTCCTCCTTTAATGGTTTAGGTTTTGCTTTTCTCTCTCTCTCTCTCTCTCTCTCTCGTGCTTGGTAGGTTGTGCCGTTGAATTCGATGGGCCCTAAACTCCACTGATCGATTAATGGTGACAGAGGGTCTCCATCTCGTCTTTCAATGTTCTCTCTCTCCTCTCTTCTCTCTCTCTCTTTGCCTCCATTTTCCCTCCCCTCTAGCATTTTGGGGATTTTTAGCTTGTCTTAATTTCTCTCTCTCCGATAAAATTTTGTGGTCTCTAATGATACTTCAATGTTGGTCTTTCGATTCTCGACATGGGTTTTGAAGCTTGTGTGCTAAACTTTGTTGGGTTCATTTCAATTTTGAGTTTCTCCGGTTGTGGTTCGTGGGTTTTTGATTGCAAAGTTTCGAGCTTTTGATTCATTTTTTTAGCTAGTTTTGAGTCGACCCATGAATTTTGGGAGCATTTACATGTTTTGGGCATAGAGAATTTGATAAGATATTCTGACTAGAGATGTTAGAAATTGGGCTAAAATTGTGAAGCTGAATTCTGGATATATATAGTGTGTGTGTGTGTGTGTATACTGATGGGTGAAATTGGTGTGTGATGTGTAAAGCATTTAGGGGCTTTTCTGTCTGTTTGATCCAAGACATTATGATTGAGAGATTTGTATTTGATTTTTGAGTTTGAAACTTTTGTTGTTGTTGGTGAGTCTCTGGTAATTGGTTGAGCAAGTCCACAAGGGATTAGAAGAATGGACAGAATGATACAGCCACCACTGGTAAATGCCTTGTCTATCTTTCTTGTCGACTATCTTTTCAGTTTTGGTATTACATTGATTTTTTATGTCTGTTTTGGTTTAGTTGTGAAATGTATTATTGTTCTAATTTGGATTGTACAATTTTAGATGGCTAATGCTTGCCTTTTGTGTTTTAGTATGCATATGTCTTTCTTAGTGATGCCATTTTTTTTTTCTTTTGAGGATTCTTAGAGACACTTTATTAGAGTCACTTGATTTAAATTTCTTGTAGTTGGAAAATGGGTTTTCTGATTTGGTTACACTTTACACCACTCAAGCCATTTTTGCCCATATAATTGATACTAAACTCTTCAGGAAAATGTTAATTGAAAGCGGAAAAGGACAAGCCGAGTTGGGCTGTCAGCTTCCTTCTGAACCTCGTGCAAAATGTTTCGTCATGTTTGGTGTGATGAAAAAGTTGTTGGATGAGCATGAACGTAATGTTGCTACTATAAATATGAGTGCGCGTGATGGAAACCTTGTGTGAAACTGAATTCTAATAATCATTTGAGGGGGGAAAGCATGATCATTTATTGATCCTAACTTCCATCTGTAATCTACTCTTTTTTAGTCACTTAAACATTATCTTTGTTCTCACCTATAATATTAGTAGCGCATGTTTCTTTTATTAAAAATTGAACTAAGCACGTGCAGACGTCAGAAACAAACAGAATAGATATTTATGTTGTGTATTTGCTGGTCGGGCAAGGATACTATTAGAGCGAGCTCAACTTGTTTGTTGATTGAACTATGCGTGTATGTTGCTCTGAATATAAGTATCTTTTTCTTATTTTGGTTGTTGCAAAGCAGAGTGCTTTGAAGAGTGATCGGCATGTATGTAGTTTGTTTTAATGCCGTGACAAGATAACATGCTCTATGTGTATTATTTTTTCCCAATAAAATATTTTCGATCACATGCTCAGAAAATTAACCACTGCACCTAGGCCATTGTGGTTTCACAACTTGTCTTGCGCATTTCTTGAATCAAGTCTGTTGAAATAGCTAGGAGGAGAATTTCTGATTGTTATACGTGTCTTTTCAGGTTGATACTACGGCATGTTTATGTAGAGTAGATGCTGGCCTCAAAACTGTTGCTGGAGCCAAAAAATATGTTCCCGGGACAAAGCTCTGTCTTCAACCTGACATTAAACCATCCATTCATCCAACAAGAAATAAGCCATCACGTGGCGATAGAAGTAGAAACCCGAACCAATCACCTCTGCTTCCTGGACTTCCTGATGATCTTGCTATTGCATGCCTAATACGGGTCCCAAGAGCTGAGCACCGTAAACTCCGGCTAGTCTGCAAAAGATGGTACCGTCTTTTGGCTGGTAACTTTTTTTACTCCCTTAGAAAGAGCCTTGGCATTGCAGAAGAATGGATATATATCATTAAGAGAGACCGAGATGGTAAAATTTCATGGCATGCCTTCGACCCCGTATACCAACTTTGGCAGCCTCTTCCTCCTGTACCCAGGGAGTATTCTGAAGCTCTTGGGTTTGGTTGTGCTGTTTTAAGTGGTTGTCACCTCTACTTGTTTGGGGGAAAGGACCCGCTGAAGGGATCAATGAGACGAGTCATCTTTTATAGTGCCAGAACCAATAAATGGCACCGTGCCCCAGATATGCTCCGTCGGCGGCATTTCTTTGGCTCGTGTGTCATAAATAACTGCCTGTATGTTGCTGGTGGGGAGAATGAGGGGGTACATCGGTCCTTGAGATCAGCTGAAGTGTACGATCCAAACAAGAACAGATGGTCCTTCATCTCTGATATGAGCACTGCAATGGTACCCTTTATTGGGGTTGTGTACGAGGGTAAATGGTACCTGAAGGGGCTTGGCTCTCACCGCCAGGTTCTCAGTGAGGTCTACCAACCAGAAAACGACAGCTGGTACCCTGTCTATGACGGAATGGTAGCAGGTTGGAGGAATCCAAGTGCTTCTCTAAACGGAAACCTTTATGCTCTGGAATGCAAGGATGGCTGCAAACTTAGGGTATATGATGAAGTGACTGATTCTTGGAGCAAGCACATTGACAGTAAGATGCATTTGGGGAATTCCCGAGCTTTAGAGGCAGCCGCTCTTGTTCCTCTTAATGGTAAACTGTGCATCATTCGAAATAATATGAGCATCTCCCTTGTGGACGTTTCGAAATCAAGTGATGTAAGCGGGGCTACCGCAGAACATCTGTGGGAAACCATAGCAGGAAGAGGGCAATTCAAGACTTTGGTCACAAATCTGTGGTCGAGCCTTGCTGGTAGGAACCGCTTGAAGAGTCACATAGTTCATTGCCAGGTCCTTCAAGCTTAAGATTGTAAATTATATCAGAATCAAACTTTAGAGCCTTTTGTTTTATATATATGTTTACCTAAACACAGGATTTTGATGGGCTGTGATATGCAAAGGAAGCCACTAGAGCACTGCTATTGGGCTCCTTGGAGCTGGGGACTTGAAACAACAAGGGTGGGACCCACCTTTTTGTCATGTGTGCCCCAGCTCCCGGGAGCCCCAAAGCATTTTTGGCTTTGCTAAGGGATGCAAAAGGTCCATTGTTGTTGTCAACCTGTAACATGAGCATACTAGATAGATGAGGATGTTTGTTTCTCTGCTCTTTCTTTTGTCACATATATTATATGATACAAAATGTCAATTATTAAAAGTAGAAAATTATGTGGAGATGATCTTCTGTTGTTGTAAATTGCAACTCATAATCTCTGTCTGTTTTATTTATTTATTTATTTATTTATTTATTATTATTATTTATTTATTTATTTTGCTTGGATTTTTAACATACTCGTGCATACTTGTACATGAAACTTATATGGGTTGGGGGATCTATCGTCCCACAATCAGTTAGTTGAAAATGGAGCTTTGAAATTATGGGCTCTATTGTTTTGATGATTAAAAGGAAAAAAAAAAAAAAAGAAACAAATAGATCAAATACAAAAAGATTTCACTAACATTGCAAACAATCCAAGAGCCCTTGATATTTATTATTTGTTCACACTTCCTTATTTTGTTCTACATAGTGAGTACAAAGAATATCACAAAGCAAAATATGACTAGAAATATTCTAAAAAAAATGCACAACAGAAAGAGGCCTGCTTATGCTTCCGGGAGAGATTTTACACTGTCCCAGATCCTGAGAGGTATGATCTCGCTAGCGAGAAGCTCTTTTCCTTCTGCTTTTTGTATTCGTTGTATCGCAGGAAGAAGTAACCAACATAATCGAAATCGATGGGAGATATCTTAGCCTGCAAAATATAGATGTAAGTTGTTCTAAATTAGGTTTAGGTGGCTTTTCAGGAGAAAAATCTTAGTGAAATAGATGTACCTGAATTATTCCCCATAATGCCCAATACAACTGTGAAGCTAACATGTAAGTATTTGCCTCGACGTAGAGAGCTTCAAGATCCTTTTCAGATACCTGTTTAGAGTTTTTAAGTGAAAAAGTAGTGTAAATTAGAATTAATAGTCTTGAAAATTAACAAAGGGATGAAATTAAAATTAGCTTTTACTTAAAAAGAAATTCCAGTTTGAGAAGCTTTCAAGCTTTGCATGCATGCTATGGCTCCGCTCCCCTTTATACCTCTTGTGGATTGTCAGGTTGTAAATAGTGCCTGAAAAAATGGTATTGTTCGTCCTTGCTTGGACATCTGTATTCACACCCAGATAAGCTATTATGAACAATTTCAGAAAAATAATAATTTAATCATTAAAATTGGAAGGATAAAAGAGCAAAGAAAAACATACAGGCTGAAGTCACAATCATAGCCAGCGTATTCATTGAAGTGATTTCCAATGTCATAACCTCTATAGTTGTATGATCCATACTCAAAATCAATGAAATAGAGTTTGTCTATACATAGACAGAAAACCAATGAAATAAGTCAATTGTCATAAGGGAGAGCAGTATTATTTTAGCAAGGTAATTCGAAAAGAAAGACACTTGGATATTTCAAAACAAGATTTTTCCTAGAGGAGTATTTGTCACCGTGTATTTGTCACATGGGGTGGCTTTATTAAAGAAATCTCAGCTCAAATAACTCATAAAACAGCCAAGTCTAGTTCGCGTGCAATATACAATATACTATAAAGTAATAATATAATGATATTAATCTATTATAATATTTCACTGGCTAAAGAGTTGTAATGGAAAACAATAGTGTAGTATTCTGGAGTCGACCAAAGACAACTGAAAAAAGTTATCTTGGTATACCTTCTTCCTCATTGAGCATTATATTTCCAGAGAGCAAGTCATTGTGGGAAAAAACCACCGGAGCATTAAAAAGGCCTGTCAACTCCTGTTTCATTATACGGAGACGTGTGTATGTAAATACATGCAAAGTCCTTTAAATTCTTTAAAAATAAAACAAAATAAAATAAAATAAAAGAAGAAGAAGAACAGCGAAGGACAGCTGTAAACGGGTAAGATTTACCAGAGCCAAATAAAAATATAATTCCTTTGCGCCTCAAACACCTAGGCATTGTTCAGAACATTTAGGCTGCTGGGCTGTCCAACCAACTACTATTTCACGGCTGAGGAAAAATTTACTCCATAAGGCTTATACATCCTAAGTAAGCTGACAGTCATTGAATTTGAGCAGGAGTGTCATGACATTTAACTAAAATTTTGCAATCGATATCCCCATTACGTGTTATTTATTAGCAAGAACCTCAATAATATAAGACCACCGATTCCGTAGAGGCAAAATGTTGAATGATCAACTGCATGCAAAATTATCCTCTATCTCTTACGTTTCTTCAAGTATTCAGAACTACTGCATATGCAGCAGAACGACAACGGAAGAATTAATAAACAGAAGTTCTCAGGATTTTGGTGGAAAACTGGTTTAGTTGAGCGCATTTTACACCTATAAATTTCTGCAACTATCTATCACTAACGTACGAAATGGACAATAGCAGGTAACAAACAGCCCAAAGGATCGTAACTGATTATGTCTATACTGAATTAAGTAGAAAAGACAACCTTATGATATATAACAAGTTAAGGACAAAATCTTGATGGTGTTCTCATCCTACCATATAAATAGAGTATAGACCAAAAGGAAGTCAATAATGATTTCAAAGTAGTATATGAATGGAGTGACTACCTTGAGCTCAATGATTTCATTTTTGATCTCCTTAAAAGAAATGGTCTCATATATCCTCTGCTTCTCCCCATCATCAAATTCAAGAGCAGAGGCTGCAATGGAAGAAACCATCATAACCACGAAAAAACTGCACATGCAATGAACAGAGCATAAAACATTAAGATAAGGAAATAAATATTCAACCCAAAGAGAACCTTTTTCAAAGAACTTGAACATGTCATTCCATAGTTGAGGTTCCTTTGAACCTGGAATTTCCACTTGATGAAATTCTCGCAGTTGCTTGGCTATTTCAGCAGCCAACTTTGGCTTCTTCATGTCTGCCAATAAGGGTAAAAGAAAAATTGTTTTATTACGCAGGTCACAGGTTACCAAAAACATATATCGAGTTAATTTAAAAAGAACTCCATAAGTTTAAACTTAAGTATATTAAGAACATCGATAAAGTAAATGAGAGTTTTCCAAATATAAGTTCAATGAAGATAGCATTATTTAACGGTCAACAAATCATTAAAAAGAATAAACATTCGGGAGACGTCTACTTTTATGCAAAGGATAAATTAAGAATGGTGTGTCATAAATGAAAAGTGTTTTATATGCAACTATGAAAAATGGTTGCACCTTTGCAATATTTGACAATTAAAAACATGGAATTCATTTACTTCATATCCAGCACTTCCATAAATACAAAGAATATTAACAGAAGAATTTAAATATCCAAGAACGCATATAATAGCTGGCGGGGAAAAGGTAGAATTATGATGGTCATGCATATTTCTCAGAAACCTTGTATATGGTGATTACCTTTTTTACACTTCAAAAACAGATGGCAATCTTATAAATTCCAACTACTGTAAGGACTTTGTACAATTAAGTCAACCAGTTTTCTATTTTCTAAATATGTTAACCAGAAAGGACTCGATGCAAATATTTGAGATCGTTAATTTTTCATGATTGATTCACCAAAAACAAAATTAATTTTGATTTGTTATTTATGAGATATTTCTCACCTAATGGAGTAAGCGTTCGAGCGTTAATGAAGGATTGCACCATGCCATTGCCAAAAACTGCTAGCAAATTTGCACCAAATCCTGCAGTCGAGAGGTATTTGATGGCCTAAACACAATATATGAGAAGCAATTTGTAACACAACACTCAATGCAAGTAAAAGGTCATTGACAGTGTAAAGAGACACAAATGGGCACATACAATTTAACTTAATGAGAAAGACTCCAAATGGGCACCACTCAAGTTTATGATAATTGTATAAAAAAGATTAAACATGAAAAAGAAAAAAATATAAGAACGAGACTGCTAGGGATATCAACTGTTTAAGTTTGAGAAAAATAACTCCACATCCAAGCATGTAAAGATCCTTTATAAAGGATAAAAGGCTAAAGGAAATTATAAATGCTTAAAAATTACTCAACAATCCCTGAACACCTACAAAGTATACCATGCAAAAACACCATAACAAGCATCAAAGTGTTTTTTCTCTTCAGGTTGTGTTAACCTTTGTCACCACCAAACCTATGACACTACCAGACATATGTTATAAGATGGCTAAGCAAGTTAACAACCACAACATCGCAAAGACGGGACGCAACACAAATTCCGTCAGATCACTTTACTTTAGCAATGTACAAGGATCTTACTTTTGCCGTTCTTCAAGTAAAGTTTAACAAACAATCCTGGCTTGACCTCAGGGATGACTCAAGACTATTGCAATCCTTTGTTGTTCACAACTAACTTCAGTATTTTACAAGCACAAACTTTTATTCATTTATTTATCACATGTTTATTCAAATACAATAGAAATTTTCAAGCAAAAATCCCAAACAGCTCTTGGAATCAAAGATTTACCAAAGAACCAAACACTCAACCGATACAAACTAGAACTACTTGCCTATCAATATCACAAAGTTTAGGACAATCACCTGCAATTCGCGCTCACGATTAATAACATAGTCCGTGTTCGGCCCATACAACCTGACCGTTACAGACACATTATTTCCATTATCCTCCTTCACAGAAACCTTCAACACTGCAGAAAAATAAAAAAAAATAAAAATTACTTAGCAAAAATAATGCTTCTCCTCATTTGTTTACATGGGTTCAAATCATAATAACAAAACCAATTTTAGCACTTAACAGACAGAAAAAAAAAAAAAAAAAAAAAAAAAAAACCCCCAAAAAAAAAAAAAAAAAAAAAATTTTAACCAAAAAAAAAAAAAAAAAAAAAAAAAAAAAAAAAAAAAAAAAAAAAAAACTCACATAGATTTGTTATGCCACCGGAAACAGTCTCAACAGAGAAGCGGGAATCTTCGAGCTTAGACCATTTCTTGAACAAATCCTTACACAACTCTCTGCAAATCCAAGTTCAATCAAACTTTTAATTTCATATAAAACAGAAACAAATAGAGGAAAAAACAAACACCTGTTTTTCCGCCTAGAAACAGGAAGATGATAAAAATAGATTGAAAGTTTGGATCTTGTATAATAAAATTTACTCAGAAATTCAAACAAAATGAAGATAATACCAAACCAAATAAAAACAAACGAACAAACAAAAACACATGCAAGTACATGAAAAAAAAAATCAGAATCAAAGCACAAGTCACAATTCCGTATAATTTTCTCGCGAACCAAACATCTCGAAACGGAAAAACTAAATTCGAAACCCTGGAAATATACAGAGAGAGAGAGAGAGAGAGAGAGAGAGAGAGAGAGAGAGAGAGAGAAATACTGACATGACATGAGGTGTGATTTGAGGAAGAGAGAGGGAGGGATCGATGGAGAGAGGGGAAAAGGCGATCTGAGAGATGGAGTTTTCCGAAGCTTCCGAAGCTACTTCCATGGCGTTCCAGATGTTGAGAGCTCCCATAATCCCAAATTCAAATGGCGAAAAAGCTATTAAAATTCAATTCAAAATGGTGATAAATTATTTAAATTCTTACTTCGCTTTTTTGTTTTTGTTTGTGACGATTCTCTTGACTAGAGAAAAGGAGGGATTGTTTTTAATATTATTTGACTATTTTGTGTTCTGTTCCACGCAAACCGGGAGATTATTTTTATTTTTTTCGTGGGAAATTTTCTGCTTAAAAAACAGACACACAGATATCGTCCCGAGGTATCCACCTGAAATGACGATTCTGTCCCTCATATCGATCATCAATCTTATGCATTTGGTACGAGGCTTCTAGAACTGGAGTTCATAATTCCCGTTTCAATTTTTTTTTTTACAAAAAGTAAAAAGTGGTTCTTAAAAATTAGTATTTATTTTGGATAGTTTTAATTTAAAATTTAGATCCAGATGTGATATTATAAATCAAAACCACCAAAAAAATAAAACTACTCCCCTATTAATTTTGAATAATTCAAACATCTGGCTCTGATTCTGGTTCTAGAACCATAGTTTGGATCACATGTTCAAATCATAAATCATGGTTCTTACTCTAAAATCAAAACCATTCTGATTTGAACCTTCATACCAAATGCAACCTAATTAATACGGTAATACACGGTACGCCCCCCCTTTTATTTTTTTATAGTTGTTTTTTGAGAAAATTACAAAAACTGACTATTAAACACATTCTTCTAGAGTTCTATCTTTTTACTGTGATAAATTACCTTTTTGATAATAATCTGTCAAATTACTTACTTTAAAGGAACAAAATTCAATAGGTCAATGTTGAGACTAAAAAATCCTTAATGGTACCATTTTAAGAGGTATTTGTCAAAATTATCGTTTGATATGAGGGTTCAATGTTGGTTTGCGAATCGAATTCGGATGCGGAAGCGTGGGGGAGGCAGATCAAGTATAACAAAAATTTTTACAAAACTTTTGAGATACTCTATAGATTATATTAATTTATGTACGAATAAATTAATCATATTAATTTATTTATTACGAACTCAATTAGGGAAAATATCCGGAGGGCGATTAGGATGATAACTTGAGTTCTTTTGATCTCGAACAATCCTTACTCCAAAGCCTTGTGTTTAGAAAACCAAAGTCTTCCACATCAATTTCTTGAATCTACGTAGACGTGTGTGTGGACACACTTGAGACAAAAACGGGTTGGAACAAACACTCGAATTTCCACAAACACCAACGCATGCACGATGTGGAATTTTGAGAGAAAAATTTTCCTTCTCTCTCTACTAGGAATTTCGGCTAGCCCTCAGAAAATTAGGTCAAAAAATTATCATGCGCAATTTTTATAATCCTCTTATTTATAGAGTAGAAGTCAAACTTCTAGAAGGTATTCAATCTCTATCTCCTATTTGAATTTGGAACAAAAAATCTCCTCATCCTTATCTCAATGTGGCCGGCCATGTGTAGGGATTCCCATCCCTGTGTGTGGCGCCAATTCCAGATAGGGACAGAAGAGAAAATCATCATTTATCCTGTAATCCAATTTTAATTCAAATTCAAATTCGAATTTAAGTCAAACTTAAATTAATTTGAATTCTAAATTGAACAACTTATCAAATAATTTTAAAAGAATAAATTTAAATTATGTTCATAATTCAAATTTAAATAATCACATTATTTAAATAATAATTAATTCTCAATTACTTATTTTTGAGTATTTAATTTTTAGAATTCCGTAATTCTAAAAAAATCCCATTTTGCCCTTTGTGTCTGGCAGAATTACAAGGACGACGCGGGGACTAATGGACCTATAATCCCGAGCTCCAATAAAATTACTAATTAATTAAACACTTTAATTAATTAATTAATTCTATTAATTCCAATAGTTACTCCACTATAAACTTGGAATTGCACTCTCAAAATTATAGACATTAATTACTTCTAAACTGTGAAGTGTCCATTTGATATAGTCATTGCATATAGATCAATCCTCCATAAATAATTCATAATTAGAGTCAGGTAGAATCCGTTAACCTCTCTAATTATATCTTCATCCTTAAATACCATTGATTCTCTGATGGATAGTGATTCATAAAACACATTCATGAATTAGAGCGCTCTTACTAATCCAAGTACCGAATCAACACTCAAGAGAATTATTTATCTACTTCTTTTTCAAGAAGGAATGGATTCCATCTTGTATAATATCATTTCCAGCTACCTACTTCATCATGTCTCAAAAATACAAGGAATAGGATTCAGGGTCTCGGAACCCGTACTGAGTAAATCAAAAGACACAAATCCATAAATAGGAGTCTGTTAAGAACTCGTGATTAAGATCATT